TGCTGCTGCTGCTACTGCTACTACCATGCCAGGACACATGTGTATCCAAAGCGTCAGGCCAGCAGATTCGGCAGAGTTGGTTCAGGGACTTAGGACTTCTACCTGGCCCTTCCCAAGTCCAACACACTGTGCGGCAAAGTGCCCACCGGAATTTGCAAGCTCTGGGCTCCAGGCGGATACCCAGGTAGAGGTGGTGCAGAGATCCCGCCGGTCTTTCTAGAAAGGATGATGGAGAAAGATGCATTTTTTTAACAAGGCCAAACCTTAGGTCATGTGCTTCCAGGGTCGCGCTTCCGCACGCGGTGCAGGCAACGGCAGCAATCTTCTGGCGAATCTGCTCCCGGCGGTGCCAGGAAAGCTCACATCTGTGGGCTCACTGAGCATCATAGAGGGCAACAAGGCCGGGAGCCCATCTCGCAGTCTTGGGGAGAGGCAGGTGAGTCGATGTGATAGCGGACTTGATTGCCTGGCACCCGTAGCACAGCAAAAATCTGAAAGTTGTCAACAGCCCTCCCCTGCCTGGGCACCCTGCCCCCTCAAGCGACACAGCCAGGTGGTGATACCACAGGTCTGCGCCCGAGAATGGCCTACTAGAGAGAGAGATACCCTCCCACCTGGTAGAGAGACAGAGAGAGAGACAGAGAGACACAGAGGACCAAACACTATGTCCAAGAGCCAGTAATCCTGATGCAAAGCGGCACCGGGGCTTGTCAGTCAGGTGATGCAGCTGTAAGAGTGGGATCGAAGTGAGGATAGTTGGGAGCTCAAACTGTATTCCTACTCTTCGAAGAGCACCCCAGCAATGACCGGGAATCACGGCGGCACCTTTCGCACCGGAGCCCGATACCGAACGAGCTGGTCTGGGCAGGGAGGAGCCTAACCTGAGCTTTACATGTCTGGATTCGGGGCTACGCCGCAGCGGGTTCGGGGACCGGGTGTGCTTCGCGCATCTTCGCGCCGACCCCGGACTGGAAGGGCGTGGCGCTGTGCGCAGTGAGGGAGGGCTTCGCGGCCGGACCTTCGAACTCCAAGCAAGCCAGAGAGAGAGCGAGAGAACTAAACACAGGGGAGCTTCCCCTTGTCCCTAGCCCTGGCGAAAGAAAAGAACTAAACACAGGTAAAGCCGTCGCGGAAACTGACCTGTTTTTTTTGGGGGGACTCTCTCCTGTCTGTTGGGCTTTGGACTTCAGCATTATGGTTGCTTTCAGCATTCTACAGGGGGCCTGGTGTCGCGGGAGAAAACTGGCCTCCTCGACGAGCTATCCACCCTTTCTTCAGGGGGGTCAATGAAACCAAGTTGAGGAAGGAGTGGAACATGCAGGACTACGCAGCAGACGTGGCGCGACAAGAACTACCTGTACGCCCGGATAATGGAGGAGACGTGGACGAGCATGAGCACTCAACCGGAGGGAACCAGCAACTGAGACGGCAGTGGATGCGGACACGATCGTTCAGAACGTTTTGCAAGACCTCAAAGTTCGCTCTCCCCAAAGACTCGCAAACGACTGCGGGTAGGCAAATTGCCCGGGGGGCCTGAGCCGCCGCCTATGCTTGCGAGAAGAAGAGGGAGGGAAGCAAGATGCCGGGCTGCCACCACCACCACCACCACCACCACCACCACGACTTCGGCAGCGGCAGAAGCAGCAGCAGGAGGGGTCGCGTAATCCGACAACAAGAAGAACGACCGTGATTGCAACAAGGAAAGCAGCAGCAGCAGCAGCCACGGCAAAAACTGCAAAGACAAACACCTCTACTGCAAATGCAGTCGCAGCCGCACCGAGAAGAGCGATCAGCGTCTTCATCTTCATCACCCTGATCACCACCTGTGTTACGTGCATCACTCTCATCGCCGCCACCAGCACTGCACCGTTGCCATCCGCTTGGTTATGTTGGCTCTGG